CCCTTTATGTTGTGCCCGTCTAATTGTTATTCTTAGAATATTACTCTTATTCAATTGTTCGAATTCCGTTGCTATTTTCTCCCATAAGTGAAAAATAATTCTTTGTTAACAATTAAATGATGCGCCATGCGACATTTCAGAGTGCTTTGCTGTTATTGGGACACGGTTCCTTATATCTGTCGAAAAGTGCACGTCTGCTGGAAAAAATCGCATGGACAAGTATATTGCATATGTCAGTCTGACCCTGGATAGGCAAAAGTGCTTCCAGGATTGCGGCTAGGAAACATAGAAAATCGTTCCTTTAATACTTCTCTGAATGCACCATCTCATGATTGGCTAAGTTGGGGTTCTCGATTGTGCCGTGGACTTACGTCGAAAATGTACTTTGTCCGAGCAACCAGTCGCCACAGGAGTTCTACTCGGACTGGACACTTTGTATTCCGTATTGTTGTCTAGGCAGCAGCTGTCGTCTTTTCCACCCAACTTTTTATTTCTTTTGGCACCCGGAAAACTTATGTGGAATCTTTGCACAGCTATAACATCTAGCCAATCGAAAGCGCAATTTGCAAAGGCCACTTTTCCACAAACTACCTTGGTTCATGTAAAGCGGTACCGCCCTAAGTAATTTGCTATGAAAGTCCGGCCAACCGTCTGCAATTTTTTATATGGCCTCTCCTTTTAAGTGTAGAAGCTGCCGGTAGTATTTGCTCCCCTAATGGCGTCCGTTTTTGGGCTCTTTGACTTCAGCTGTCGTTAGTGAAGCCCCTGTTATGTTCAAACAGTTTTGTATACGCTTTCTTCTCGGACAGTATGTATCCTCTTGGTTAATGATCCGTTTCATTTTCCTGGATGTTAGTTACACTATGTGAGCCGTTGTCTTTTCTGAATGAAGTATGCTACTGTTTGCTTAGAAGAGCACTTATTCTACACTATCGCATTGTTACTACAAAACTCGTGCTTGTGCTCACAACCTTTTTTGTAGCCTCTTGCGTCGAGCAAAATGGACTGTTTGTAGGTTATGTTCACTTTCTACTGTAGCGCTTACCTCTGTCGAACTCGCGCCTTCTGTTGATGCTTAATCCTATTCTATCTTCTCCCTCTATTCTGATAGTTTCGCCCCTGACGACTAGTATATAGTGAAGAGACGTCTCAGCTGGTCGATATTTCTCCCCCATCCATTGCACAACAAACTACCCTTCCGAAAACATGATGGTAGTCTTGATATTATGTTATTTGTACCCTTCTAAAAACCGGTTATCAGACCAAAATGGGAGATTTCCGTTGTTCAGTTGGTTTCACACGCAAGTGTCACCTCTTTGTATTAAAAGATAATAAGTCACATAGATTCCACAGAGTCTGTCTTGCTTTGTCAGTTCTTACATTTGTGGTCCCGTTTGCATATCATACATTTGCTTTATGGAAAAACGGCGTGGCCTCAAGACATATAAATTTATCATCGCTA